AACATCACACTGACAACAAAGATACATACAGTCAAGGCCATGGATTTCCAAGCTGTGACATGCCTATGGAAGCTTGATCATCCAAAAAACTGAATGAAGAAGAAGCTGTGCCATTGAACTGTAATGCTGGAGAACTTGCTGAAAATAAAAAATAAAAAATACTATATGAAATAAAACCAGTGTGCTTGCTAGAAGAGTTAATGATGAAATTAAAGCTTAAAAAAGTCTGGACACTTAAGGCAAAGGCAAAAATGACACAACTTCCTACTATTAAATCCATCAAACTACTTCCTGAAAAATTGTGGTCACCACATCACTAGATGGCTTTCTGCCAACCACCAACTCTCTCCATCACCAAAAGAGGGTCCCTGCTCCAGGTACAGAGTCATGTTCATGGCATGTTGCATCACAGAATGACAGGCAAAAATGAAAGGTAAAATTTAGGCAGTAAATGTTAGGAATATAGAAGTGGCTTCTACAAAGTGCATGGTACTTAAAACACACAATAGTTGGCATTTCATAAGTAAAGTATTCTGACTGAACAAGGGATGAAACTGACAGTTTCTAGTTTTCTGCAAAGGAGCAGAAAAGTGGATGAGAAGTATATCTAAAGTGTAACAAGCTGCTAAGGAGAAATGACAAGAGTTTGGAGAAGAAACACAGTGAAAGAAGCTAAGTTGTAAACTGCTCAGAGTCTTTTCAACGAGATGGGCAGTGACAAATTTGATATATAACTAAATAAATAAAATAAGTTGTCACTCTAAATAGGGAGGAGACCTTTTTCAATAACACTGCATAGGAAAAAAAATGTAGTATACAATGTAGAATATGTTTAAATGAAAGAGGTTGCGCATGGCATTTTTTAAACCAAAAAAAAAAAAATTATTTGAATGTATATATGCATGCATCTATGTATGTATCTGTGTGCATACAAACAATCTCCAAAGCCTTCTATTTTCCATGGTTTTACTTCTATGAAATACAAAACCAAACCGTTATGCAGAATTAACATCTCCCAGTCCCAATGAAAATTATATAGCTGATAGAAGAAAAGGCTGGATTTCTCAGATAGATGGGGCACATGGGAAAATGCTCCTTAAGACATTTGTACCACCCTGAAACCTCCACTCAAACTCTTTCCCTTTATTCAAAAAGAAACATCATCAGACAAAAAAAGCCTGCTACCACAAGCTGAACTCCAATGTTTTCTTAGGTCCATTGTGATCCTTGAAATTCCTGATATGTTCAAGTGCCTCAAATAAATGATATAGGTTATTTACCTGGGCATGGATAAATCTGATTTTTTATACATATTTTTATGTCACATAATTCTAACGGCTGTTGAAAGATGAGCAGAATGTTCAATATTTTTAGTTTTTCGTAACTTCCAACAAATATTCAGTGGTTAAGCACAAACAATTGAATGATTTGATGCTGGTGCAATGCGACCCTTTATCCCTCACTAATTTTGAAGATCCCCCTTTTTTTTTACAAAAGGCTTTGTAAATTAATCATCTCAATAAAGATATTATGAGAATCTTGGCCTCCAGCTTCACTGAGGCAGACTACATTTATAAGACGATGCTTTTCCAATATGTATGGCCAGCTCTCACCGTAAAATTCTACACAGGGGTTGCACCATCTCAGGGGCACCATATGGTTCCTCTTTGACCTCCAACATGAATGATTACATCTTCTGACATTAGCACTTTCATGAGAAATATCTTCTGGCGTATATAACATTAATTTAGAGCATTTAAATTTCAATTATTTTGCTGTTTCTCAGTGTTTTGCTAATTAACATAAATAGTTTATTTAACTAGTTTTCAAAATGCATGAAGAACTAATATCCACCATCCAACATTTGACGTACACAGAAGCCTGATTAATTCAAACACTTTCTTATCAGTCAATTTTTAAAAGGTATGTGACCCTTTCATTTGCGTGGAAAACTGATAACCTGCATTTAAATTTAAACAGAGGGTTTAAAAACCAATTAGGTCATTGTGACTAAAATACAACCCCTTTGCAGGAAATATCAACCAATTTTACTTGGCTTGAATTACGACCCTTTTAATAAAATACGGTTTTTAACATTTGAAGATGATTTGGATTTATAATAATTTGCTTTCTATTTGTAAAATGCAAAATATCTTAATGCAAATAGAATGTATATTTGAAGCTTACAGATACACACACTGAATAACAAGTTCCTGATCCATCATGGTTATAAAATATGAAGAATACAAGTCTTGCAAATATAAGCCAGAGACTTAAATATTGCTAACAGAATGAGAATTTAGAGCTAGTTGGCTTGCTTCTAACTTGTACGGATTTTTTTTCTTTGAGGTATAGATTTTTAAAATTTAAAAACAACTATTGAATTTACATCCCAATGTGAAAACCTATAACTATGGTGACCATATTTTCTTGGAAAAAATAAAGGACAAACCTTAAAAAGGGACAAATCTGGAAGAGGTTTGTTCATAAGGATAAAAAAAAATGGTTTATGTCTATAACGTTGCTTTACAAAGGAAATTTCAAGAGCAAAACCAAGAAAATAAATAATTAAATCTAAAGGACAGCTTTCAGAAATAAAGGACTATCCTTTATAATAAAGGATGTGTGATCACTGTATAACTGATTTTGGAAATGCAATCATACTTATATCTAGTACAGAATGATTTCTATTTCATTAACTCTAAGGCAGCATGTTTTTATGTTATATTGTTCCAACATTTAAATTATTCAACACATCTTTTATTTATAAAAATTCTTTTCCTATGGACACAGGTTTGGGACCTGATTCTTAAGACAGCTTATTCCTACTGTTGGTTTGAAGTAAGTTTGGTGAGATGCAACAGAAAGCATCCCCAAGAGAGGAAAGCACGGAAGAAGGCAAAGCATCCGGTCTCCAGATGACCATGCCAAGGCAAAAGGAACTTAGCATCTCAGCAGAGCATTTCTTTGTGTCGGGAACTGGAGTAGCTTCTGAACCATTTGGACTTAGGAACTAAAACAGAACAGTTAGTCCCCCTGGTTAAGAATGCCCAGGTTACAGACAACCCATAGTTAAGAACGGAGCCTATTGTAGCAAAATCTGAGTTAAATACAAAATGATTCAAGTTAAATACACAACAGTTGGAGTTCATTACCCAATACTACTTATACAGTATTAGACAACAATACTGTTCCGGCTTACATACAAATTCACCTTAAGGACAGACCTTGGGAACGGAACTCGTTCTTAAACTAGGGACTACCTGTATTGGATAAGAGAAAAAAGTGAGCTTTTTTGTAATCGCAGAGTAAGAGATAACTTTGTAATTTACTTATATTTGCTGCAAAGGTAATCAGAAGCGTCTTATTTCTATTTTTATCTTTCTTTCTGCACTTTTATCTATGTTCTTTTCTTCCTTCTTTTTTTTCTTTTTTTTCTTTATACTGTATTTGTGT